AGGTTGGAAGCTGAAGTCCAGGACAAACAGCGTAGTTATCTCTGGGTTACTACCAGTGCCACGTGATAACGAGGTAAGAAATAGGGAGAGAGTGCAGCTAAACACATGGCTACAGGGCTGGTGTCGGAGGGAGGGCTTCCATTATGAGGATAATTGGAGCACATTCTGGGGAAGGTGGGACCTGTACAGTAAGGACGGGTTGCACCTGAACCGGAAGGGCACAAATATCCTGGGAGGGAGGTTTGCTCGAGCTATACGGGATGGTTTAAACTAGATTGGCAGGGGTGGGGAACCGGATTTGTAATTCAGAGGATGAGGTATTCAGCCTTCCAACAGACACAACAGGGAGAGAGGTTGTTAATAAAGAAATGCGGTTGATGGAGTTAAATTGTGGACACAGAGATGGTTTGAGGTGTGTATACTTCAATGCTAGAAGTATCAGAAATAAGGCGGATGAACTTAGAGCATGGGTCAGTACTTGGAACTACGATGTTGTGGCCATTACAGAAACTTGGGTAACTCAGGGACAGGAATGGTTGTTGGAAGTTCCGGGATTTAGATGCTTTAAAAGAAATAGGGAGGGTGGTAAAAAAGGCAGGGGACTGGCATTGCTAATCAGGGCGAGTATAGCAGCTATTGAAAGGCATTTTGAAATGATATGTCTACAGAGTCAGTTTGGGTTGAGGTCAGGAACAAGAAAGGAGTAGTCACTTTGTTGGGGGTATTTTACAGACCCCCTAATAGTTGCAGAGAAGTAGAGGAGCGGATTGGGAGGCAGATACTGGAAAGGTGCAGAAGTCACAGGGTTGTAGTCATGGGTGACTTCAACTTTCCAAATATTGATCGGAAACATTTTAGTTGTAATAGTTTAGGTGGAGCGGATTTTGTCCAGTGCGTTCAGGAAGGATTCCTGACACAGTATGTAGATAGACCAACATAAGGAGAGGCCACTTTGGATTTGGTGCTTGGCAATGAACCGGGCCAAGTGTTAGACCTGTTGGTAGGAGAGCATTTTGGTGGTAGTGATCATAACTTTGTTACTTTTACAATAGTCATGGAAAAGGATAGGTACATACAGCAGGGTAAGGTTAATAATTGGGGGAAGGGTAATTACAATTCTGTTAGGCAAGAACTGGGTAACATAAAATGGGAACAGATGCTGTGAGGGAAAAGCACTATTGAAATGTAGAGATTGTTTAAGGCATGCATACTGCGTGTGCTCGATATGTTTGTCCCTAGCAGGCAGGGAAGATGCAGTCAAATGAGGGAGTCTTGGGCTCTCAAGAGAGGTCAGACGACTGGTTAAGAGGAAGAAGGATGCTTATGTAAGGTTTAGGAAACAAGGAATGGAAAAGACTCTAGAGGGATACAAGTTATCCAGGAAGGAACTGAAGAAAGTGCTTAGGAGAGCTATAAGGGGGCATGAGAAAACCTTGGCAGGTAGGATCAAGGAAAACTCCAAGGCTTTTTACATGTATGTGAGGAATAAGAGAATGACCAGAGAAAGGGTAGGTCCAATCAAGAATTGTAAAGGGAATTTGTGCACGGAGCCTAAAGAGATAGGAGAGGTCCTTAATGAATACTTTTCTTCAGTATTCACAACCGAGAGGGACCTAGTTGCAGGGGAGGACACTGTGAAACAGGCTGGTAGGCTAGAGGAGGTGGATGTTAGTAAGGAAGATGTGCTAGGAATTTTGAGGAACTTGAAGATAAATAAGTCCCCCGGGCCTGATGGGATTTATCCAAGGATTCTATGGGAAGCGAGGGAAGAGATTGCAGGGCCTTTGGCGATGATCTTTTCATCCTCACTGTCCACGGGTATAGTGCCGGAAGATTGGAGAGAGGCAAACGTCATTCCCTTGTTCAAAAAAGGGAATAGGGATAACCCCGGAAATTACAGGCCAGTTAGTCTTACGTCAGTGGTGGGCAAATTATTGGAAAGGGCTCTGAGAGATAGGATTTATGATCACTTGGAAAGGCACAGTTTGATTCGTGATAGTCAGCATGGATTTGTGAGGGGTAGATCATGCCGCACAAACCTTATTGAATTCTTTGAAGAGGTGACCAAACACGTGGATGAAGGTGGAGCAGTGGATGTGGTATACATGGATTTAAGTAAGGTGTTTGATAAGGTTCCCCATGGTACGCTCATGCAGAAGGTAAGGAGGCATGGGATAGGGGGAAATGTGGCAGATTGGATTCAGAATTGGCTGACCCTTAGAAGGCAAAGGGGGTAGTGGACGGAAAATATTCAACATGGTGCTCAATTATGAGTGGTGTACCACAAGGTTCTGTTCTGGGTCCTCTTCTATTTGTGATTTTTGTAAATGATTTGGATAAAGGAGTGAAAGGGTGGATTAGTAAGTTCGCGGACGGTACGAAGGTGGGTCGAGTTGTGGATAGTGCGGAGGGCTGCTCTAGGTTACAGAGGGACATTGATAGGATGCAGAGCTGGACTGAGAAATAGCAGATGGAGTTTAACCCTGAAAAGTGTGAGGTGATTCATTTTGGAAGGACAAGCTTGAAAGCAGAATACAGGGTTAATGGAAAGATTCTTGGCAGTGTGGAGGAGCAGAAGGATCTTGGGGTTCATGTTCACAGTTCCCTGAAAGCTATCACCCAGGTGGATAGAGTTGTTAAGAAGGCGTATGGTGTGTTAGCTTTCATTAATAGAGGGATTGAGTTCAAGAGCCGTGAAGTTATCCTCCAGCTATACAAAAGCCTGGTTCAGCCACTTCTGGAGTATTGTGTCCAGTTCTGGTCGCCTCATTACAGGAAAGATGTGGAAGCGTTGGAAAAGGTGCAGAGGAGATTTACCAGGATGTTGCCTGGAATGGAGGGAAGGTCTTACGAGGAAAGATTGAGAGAGCTAGGGCTTTCCTCTTTAGAATGACGAAGGATGAGAGGTGACTTGATAGAGGTGTACAAAATGATCAGAGGTGTAGATAGAGTGGACAGCCAGAGACTTTTTCCTAGGTTGGAGGTAGCTATTACAAGGGGGCATAGTTTTAAAGTGAGCGGAGGTAGATATAGGGGAGACGTCAGAGGTAGGTTCTTTACTCAGAGAGTGGTAGGGACGTGGAATGCATTGCTGGAGAGGGTAGTGGAGTTGGCCTCATTAGGGGCATTTAAGCAGCTATTAGATAGTAATGGATGATAGTATAAGGTCGGGGCGGAGGTTAGATAGACCTTAGGATTAGGGTAAAAGTTCAGCACAACATTGTGGTCTGAAGGGCCTGTACTGTGCTGCACTGTTCTATGTTCTATGTTCTAATATATGTTAGTGGCGATATCTTGGGGACAATCCCTATCGCAGTACAGGAGGTGTTGGATGTATTCGAATGTATGAAGGTGGATAACTCTCCTGGTCCTGACCAGATATATCGAAGAACCCTGCAAGAGGTTAGGGAAGAAATTGCGGGGGCCCTGGCTGATATATTTGCATCATCTTTAGCCACGGGTGAGATCCTGTAAGACTGAAAGGTAGTGAATGTTGTCCCCTTATTCAAGAAGGCCTGCAAAGAAAAACCTGGGAATTATAGATCAGTAAACTTAACATCTGTGGTAGCAAAACTTCAGTTGCTGGAGTCAGAGTCAATACAGTATGGAGCGAGAAGAACACAACAGGTCAGGCAGTATCAGAGGAGCAGGAAAGTCGATGTTTTGGGTTTACACCCTTCATCAGGAAGCAGAGAGTAATACTGGAAGGATGCTTGTTGGACTGGAGGCCTGTGACTAGTGGTGTACCTCAGGGGTCAGTGCTGGGCCCATTGCTGTCTGTTATCTGTATCAATGATTTGGATGAGACTATACAAGGCAATACTAGAAAGTTTGCAGATGACACTAAAACAGGCGGTATCGTGGACAATGATGAAGGTTATCAGAAATTGCAGCAGAATCTTGATCAGCTGGGGAAGTGGGCCAAGAAATGACAAATGGAGTTTAATACAGATAAGTGTGAGGTGTTGCATTTTGGAAAGTCAAATCAAGGTAGGAGTTTCATGGTGAATGGTAGGGTCTTAAGGAGTGTCGTGGAACAGAGGAACTTTGGAGTTCAGATGCACGGTTCTCTGAAAGTGGAGTCACAGGTAAACAGGTCAGTGAAGAAGGCTTTTGGCACACTGGCCTTGATCAGTCAGGGCACTGAGTATAGAAGTTGGGAAGTTATGTTGCAGTTGTACAGGACATTGGTGAGGCCGCAATTGGAGTATTGTGTTCAGTTTTGGTCACCTTGCTATAGGAAGGATGTTATTAAACTGGAAAGAGTGCAGAAGAAATTTATAAGGATGTTGCCAGGACTCAAGGGACTGAGTTATAGGGAGAGTTTGGACAATCTCGGACTTTTTTCTTTAGAGTGTAGGAGACTGAGGGGGAATCTTATAGAAGTGTATAAGATCATGAGAGGCATGGATAGGGTGAATGCACTCAGTCTTTTTCCCAGGGTTGGGAAATCGAGGAATAGAGGGCATCAATTTAAGGAAAGAGGGGAAAGAATATATGGGAACCTGAGGGGCAACTATTTTACACAGAAGGTGGTACGCATATGGAATGAGCTGCCAGCGGAAGTGGTTGAGGTGGGTACATTAACAACATTTAAAAGGCATTTGGACAAATACATGGATAGGAAAGGTTTAGAAGGATATGGGCCAAGTGCAGGGAAATGGGGTTAGTGTGGATGGACATTTTGATCAGCACGGACCAGTTTGGGCCAAAGGGCCTGTTTCCCTGCTGTAGGACTCTATGACTCTATGTGTATGTGTGTATGTGTGCGCGTGTGTGTATGTGTGTGTGTGTATGCTTGCCTGTCCCTACATGTCTATGTGTGAGTGTGAGGAAGTGTCTCTATGTGTGTCGGTGTATCTGTTTTGATGCTGTATTTTCCTCAAGGGTTTACTAACTGCAGCGTTCTGAGACAGGATCCTCCTACCGTCTTGTCTCTAGTTTGACCCCACCTCCCATTAAACTCTCTAACCATCCTTACTCCCGGGACTGAATGCAAAAGTTGACTGTGGTAATCAAGTTTCCTGTACTGTGTCTGCAGTACTACACTTCAGCACTCAAGCAGGAAGTACATGATACAGAGAAGAGACTAAACCGTATGGATGTACTCGACCACAGCAACCAGGGAGTAATTATAGCCACAAAACAACATGGTGAGTCTGCATGGGTTTCACTGTGTGTTTGTGAGTGTGTACTTGTTGGTGTGATGATATGGGAGGCTTAAGGTGTGTTTCTGAGCTTGTTAGTCCATCTGTGGGTGTATTAGTCTGTGAGTGCGTTTGTCCATCTGTGAGTGTGTTAGTCTATGAGTGTATTAGTCTATCTGTGTGTGTCAGTCTATCTGTGACTATTAGTCCATATGTGAGTGTGTTAGTCTGTGAGTGTGTTAGTCTGTGAGTGTATTAGTCTGTGAGTGCGTTAGCCCATTTGTGTGTGTTAGTCCATTTGTGTGTGTTAGTCTACCTGTGAGTGCGTTAGTCTGTGAGTGTGTTAGCCCATTCGTGTGTGTTAGTCCATTTGTGTGTGTTAGTCTACTTGTGAGTGTGTTAGTCTGTGAGTGTGTTAGTCTGTGGGTATGTTAGTCTGTGGGTGTGTTAGTCTGTGAGTGCGTTAGTCTGTGAGTGCGTTAGTCTGTGAGTGCGTTAGTCTGTGAGTGCGTTAGCCTGTGAGTGTGGTCGTCTGTGAGTGCGTTAGTCTGTGAGTGCGTTAGTCTGTGAGTGCGTTAGCCTGTGAGTGCGTTAGTCTGTGAGTGCGTTAGCCCATTCGTGTGTGTTAGTCCATTTGTGTGTGTTAGTCTACCTGTGAGTGTGTTAGTCTGTGGGTGTGTTAGTCTGTGGGTGTGTTAGTCTGTGAGTGTGTTAGTCTCTGAGTGTGTTAGTCTGTGAGTGTGTTAGTCCATCTTGGAGTGTGTTAG